CTAGTGGGTGAGTAGGTATGTGTTGTGTCATCGTTCATTTGTTCTTAAGTCTAAGTTTATATTCGGGTTTCAATCATTTTCAAGTTGTTAATTGCAAATAAGTACATAAATACAAGTCTTCACAACTAAAAAGAAGGCTTGAGAAACTCCGCTAAAATCACATTCCGAAGCAACTGGCAACAAGAAAACAAACAAACAAGTAAAGAATAGTAAAGTTCTGTTGTTAAAAAAACCCTAAATGACCCTTTTTGAACAATGGCATAGCTCATAGACATCAGTGTGCGATTGTCGAAGGTGAAGGATGAATAAGAATAGAATTGTGTACGGCTACTGACTTACGCTACACGGTAATGAAATAAATCTTATGTGATTTGTAATGATTAATCCAATTGCTTTATTTATATACCTACAACAGTCTTGAAATCATTTGAAGTAAAATTAAGATTAAGTTAAAAAATATTTTACCGAAAAGATTAGAATTAGTTATTAACTAGTCAACGAAAACAGATTTTCATTTTTTTCTGTGGTCCTTTTTTGTTGCGATGCTACTTGGTTTGGTTGTTAGGTTAAACATTTTAAACAAATGTTAAATACAGTATATCAAATGTATAGATTTCAAGAATTATATCTAAGAACACTCGAGCATGCTCCTTCTTAAACAAAAAAATCATAATCGGTCAACCCGTAAAGACGACATCATGCTACTTTTGCGTCTCAATAGTTTGACATAGGTAGTTGCCGTAGCCGTGATAGAAATCAACACATAAGTGCAAAGAACAAGATCAGGTTTTAGTGCTTACACATTCACAATTAAACCAAACAGTGATATCACAGTGTTGTATAATATAAACAAACATACCGACGCAGACGCAGCCGCGGCGGCCTTTAAATACGCCGGTAGTACCGCATAGGTACTTCTATATGCAATAAAACAGTATCCTACCTACATTTAACTCTGTGTACTCCATTAAAATATAAATACGTAGGTAACAATCTCATTACGAACAAAACTCATGACTGTTCTCGCCATCGCGACGTAACACCGAATTCTAGACTCAACAAGGTGTCTAGTGGCTCTAATAGACTTCATGCCGTAACAAATCAAACGACAACACATCGCAAGGTATTATAAACTTTATTATTCAGGATGAAAAATTTAAAATCAATCGTTCTGATTTGAAGATCAATGACAATGTAATATTGTTTTTAAAACGTGTTGAGTAGGGTTCAAATTTGTTTGAAACCAGGACTAGTTATGACAGTCATGTTTGAACATTAGATTGTTTGAGTCGGCGCCTTTGAACGCAGGCACAAAGGGTGCCGCTTAAGTGTCGTGTGTCTCGCCCACCTGACTGTTTGCTGGCATCGGTCGCGATGTTATGTCGTTGAATGTTTAGAGGCATAGACCTTATGTTCTGTAGTAAACCCCTAAAACGACTTTTGAATTTGTAATCATGGGAAAATTTGTTCATAAAGGCAGGGTTAAACGTTTAGTCATTGGTCTAGCAGTTAAAATGCAGTAAGGCACGCAATCTTAAGAGCTGAAACTGTTAGAAACAACTAAAACGTGTCTTTTGTTTCTAAAATATGTCCCTTTTCGTAATAACAGCAATCGCGTGAATGTGAAGTCTACCTAAGTATTCATATTATTCTTCCTGGTTATGAAAGATTTGATTTTTATCGTACAATACGTGCAATACAAAATAATGGAAAAATGCATTTAAGGTTAAGGAAGACCATTGAGATGACTATTCAGAAGATTATTTTTTTTGGTAAGATCGCTTTGAAGTAAAAAATTGAGCAACTTCTTATATGAAGGTGATAATGGTTCTTGAAATTTTTCTGAAGAAAAATGCAATACTAAAGATAGTATAGTCAGGGGTCATTCTAAATGACTAGGAACCATTTTTGTATAATCCGAAATTTAACGATTTGGCCGAGAAGTAGGATCACGGATATCTTAACGAGGAGTAAAATAGAAAGGTTAAATTAAACCTAAAGTTATGCTATTTTGTATGAGATTGAATATTACATATTAAATATTTTAGAAGACTATTATCTAACTACATTTTTGAACATAAACATTGCAGATAATATTAAGTAAATAATTAAGTGCCGGTCTGATTTCTTAAATCGGTTTTGTGGTTTAACAATTAAAGTAAACAAACTCACTTTCACATATTTAAAACACCTATAATAGAAGTATGGATGTATGATGTCACAACTGCTTTTAACACTTCTTATTTCATGGAGTAAAGCATATTTAAAAATATAATAGCAAATCATTCATTACTAATATTTCTAGTAGTTAATTATCCAAATTGCTTGTGGTCGGCCAAATATCATGTTTTGCCTCCACATACTTATGTTAACCGTCAATTCTTTGTCTATTGTTTCTGGCCATGAAGTCCATCCCATTTTTCTGGTTTCCTCATGTCTTAAATCTATCACAATTTGAAACTACTTCACATCACACACACATCAACAGCCTTTAATATCTACTGCTGAACATAGGCCTCTCCTTAGAAAGTAGGTTTTGGCCTACTACACCAAGGGTTGGTATAGGGTTTGTGTCAAGTTTTATTTCTCTTTGGAGTTTTGTTGTCCTGCGTAGATTGCTCCCTTAGTAATAACTTTAAGTAACAAAATATATTGAGACTCATCACTTTTTCACAAGTTTTTGGTACGTATCGTAAGATGCACTACATGATAATAGCTTTTAATGTCCTTAGCTTTCATTCAAAGTTTTTTTAATATTCAATTTAATATGTAACCATTCCAACAGTATTCTAGAAAGATGAAAAGAATTAAAATCGTCAAGTTTTTCTGAAGTCAGTTAATATGCAAAATTTGTCTTGACAACTAGAATCATACTTTTAGAACATTAGCCACACCAAACACCAACGTTTTTATTAATAAATTAACACCATCGATAGTACCTATGTGTTATTTTCAATCAAATTTTAAATTGACTAGTTTTAGTTTTAGTTAACATAAATGTTTTGAATATAAATTTAATTTCACTTTAAATTTTATAATTCTGAGATGCTTTTGCTTCTCAGAATTACAAATTAAAATTAAAGTTTAATTTGTAATTCTGAGAGGCATCATTAGATTCATTTTATTTTAATATGTATTATGCCTGTTTATTTTGCATTACACTTATTAATGATAAGTTCGAACCATGTTTGAACTTGAAAAGAAACTTAATAGGTACACTTTAGAACACATTTATGTCAATATGTATATTAGGTTTAATTAAATGCTGGGTATATAATGTCAATTTTAAATTATTTGCATTACAAATCATATTCGACTACGAAAGGTGCGTGTTACATAACAATTTCTAAATGCAAAGTTTATGTCAATATGTATATTAGGTTTAATTAAATGTAGTAAATTTTAATTTATTAAGTAATAATTTTATAAGTTTATTTAATAATTTTAAAAGTATTTAATTTTACAAACATTAAAACATAACATATAAAATACATCTTATTTATATATATTATTTTATGGTTTTATTTTAATAACTATAAGATTCCCAACTATCCCTAAAATTTTGCAACATTCTAATTCTTTCTGACGTAAAACCTACGTAATACGATAACATTAAAAGAGTCTTGTCAACATAGCATGTACATACAGAATAATATTTGATGTGAAAATATTAGCTTTTGATGTCCTTAGCTTTCATTTAAAGTTCAATCGTTCCAACAGTATTCTGTAAAAATGCAAAGAATTAAAATCATCAATCGACTAAATTCTCATCATGATGAGAATAATATTAACTCATTTAGGTTTTTAATCATTTTAATTGACAGCAAATACCTACTTATCTTTGAGACACCTACTAGCTTGTACAGTATCTTTAATGTAGGTCCTACCAGGTAATCCCATCTTACCTAGTAGTACCTTAGGACCTATCTTACCTAGTGTTACAGCACTTAATTATAATCACAATCATATATTTCGTCATCAATATTTCACCCATCATTTACCTAAGTATGATGGGTGAAATATACAAAATAGATGCCAATAAACCATATACCAAGAGATTATTATTAAGTGCTGTAACACAATTGAAGAATACTTTTTTTTTTGTCTACTGTTTTAATTAGTGTACATATCATATTTCTTTATAAAAGACTACAATAGAGTGTAGATTGAGTATTTATGGCATTATGTTTTATAGAGAGAACATAATGCTATAGGTATTCAGATAATTTTTAAATTTACCTATAGTTAGAAATACCTAAGCTTCACGCGCAACAATTGGTACCTGCTGACGGTACAGAGATTTTTTTTAAAGACAGCAGACGACATGGAACTAGATAATAATATGTCGGTATTTGTAGTTTGGATGATGCGGTGGATGATGTAGTAGCCGAGAATCCTGTCAGTCTTTGGCGGCCATTGACAGCTACACTCCCATTCTTTCATGAAATCAATTCTATTCATGAAAGGGAAAAATATTAATAAAACTGTCAATATCTTCCATAGCGTAGATACGATTATACCTAGGTAATTTTTACACAATTTTTTTTTTAAGTCGATGCTATTTTCTGATATTGTTTTTTGTGTGTTAAATTGTTGCTATCTAGTTAACAAAAAGTAAAGTAAAGTAGGTATTGACCTATAAAATTGTGAAACACAAACTAAACTAAAAGCAGCCTAATCACTAAACATAACTCAATCCACGACAGCATATAAGCTTTCACTACTCCAAAAACGTATCTACACAATAACCCCAGGTCATACGTGCCCAATCTCAATACAGATACAAATTACAACAACCGTTTATAGACATACGACAAAGCCTTGCCTACAAAACCAAATTACCAGGGCAATCCGCTCACCTAATAGCTTCAGCTATACCAAAATTTGCATTATCAAACAAACTCACTTACGAAACGATATAATCCTTGTAGAACTTATAAAGACAGAGTTCCATCAATCGCTGTAAGCGTTAGAAGATAGGACTCGGTCAACGTAAAAGCATGAACGGTTGGGGCAATTCGCAATTGTTACCGATCGATTCCGAAGGCAGTGCTCGGCAGGCTCCGCCTATTGGGAGGCGCGGTGCTGCTTCGGGAGCTAACACAGGCGCCGGTCGAAGCGGTTCTTTTGATCTGCCCCCCTCCCCGCGGCGCGCAAGCGTAGGCCCAGATAACGAACGCACACAAACTCATAACGCTCCGCGCGCTCTCCCAAGCCGGTTGTCAGCACGAACCGGTTTTGTGACGACACCTGAGTGATACCAAAGTGAGACCAAGTGTCCAATTCGTGGACAGTGTTTAAGTGTTTAGTTTTTATGGACAATTGTGTTTTAAAAATGGAAGATAAGTCGTACAGTGTTGATAGTTCGGACGATATCAATATCGACGAAGAAGAAGAACATATTGAGGATAATCATAGTACGTATTAGTGTTTTTTATTTGTTAGGTTAGGTTTTGTTTACGTTAGCGATGATAGTGAAAATTGATATATATTTTTTTAAACTATTTTTCAATGAATTAATAAACAATAGTTTAAACAATTTAAAAAACCAACATAATTACAAGTAGGTGTTAATTGTTACAAGTAGGTAGGTTTTAATAAATTTTTGGTATTTGTAATACAATATTTTAGCCAGTATTTTTACTTTTACTGTGTTAGTGACATTTTTTTAAATTCATCAAGAAAAAAATTTACATTAGGTACTAATTTTTTTGGAAAATATAAAATGAAAAATATTAATAACAGTATTTATAACGTCCTCAGGTTATCCACCAGACTTTCCGATAGAAGCTTTGGTAAAGCTTGAACGGCCATCACCCCCTTTGCCAACACCACCGCATACGCCCACGGACGACACGCCCCCTGCCATCGTTATCTCGCGCCACCAACCTTGGATTCCACCCGCACCCCAACCTTACCAATACCCCCGACCAACCATGCAGACACCCTACCCCTACGATAAAGTTGCAGTCCAAAACTACACCCACCCTGCGATGTCCGCATACGTACAGGCGCAAGCTGCGCAAGTCGCGACGCTCCCTCCGTCGGCACCGTACCACGCGATGCTTGTAAATCAATGGATTAGGAATGCAGCTTTCTATCACCACTCACTGAGATATCCCGGCGCAATGGCTCAAAGGTTACCGGGAAGAAACCCACCACCAATGCGAGCACCAGGAGTACCTGGTACAAGACCTAAAAAGCAATTTATTTGCAAATACTGCAACCGCCAATTCACGAAGTCTTACAATCTTCTCATCCATGAAAGGACGCACACAGACGAGAGACCCTACTCGTGTGACATTTGCGGTAAAGCTTTCCGCCGGCAAGACCACCTCAGAGATCATAGGTGGGTATCATTAAATCAACAGTTCAGTTGTTTATGCTATACTATATGTGTGTCTCAGTGTTCGCGCCGAGAATTTATTTACATAAAACCACTTTCACTAAGAAAGAGTGTCAGATAGTGGTAATCAATTTATCCGAAACCTCTAATTTAATTTAATGTTTTCTTCAAATATCAGTAACGTGATTTAGGACATGTTTTACCAAGGCATTGTTGACGATAAGAGTAGACAAAAAAATGTTAAACTTTTTGTGAGGTCGCGAGGCGGCGGGCGCACGCGCGCCCTCGTCGACCGGTTTCTTTCTTTACGATCACCATATCTGTCTTGCTCCGCCGTCGAACAAATTACACGTTATATTTCTTCGCTTTTACGAGACCACTTTTTTTACTCATATCGTATCGTATATATTAAGAGTCTAATGCGCCCATAATGTAGAATGACTTCAATTTTCATTCAAAGCGCTTATTTCGTCGCCTATTAAGCCATAAAGGTGTAGGTATACGCATGTTTACATAGTGTACTCGCGAGAAGTGAAAGTTGAACTAGAGTCACAATGTTGTTTTCTATTTTTCAGGTACATACATTCGAAGGAGAAGCCTTTTAAATGCACGGAATGTGGAAAAGGATTCTGCCAATCGAGAACGCTGGCTGTGCACAAAATTTTGCACATGGAAGAATCTCCTCATAAGTGTCCAGTCTGTAATAAGAGTTTCAACCAAAGATCAAACTTAAAAACACACCTTTTAACCCATAGCGACGCAAATAAACACCACTTGGAGCACTTAGAGGGTTGTCAAGAAGTTTCCTCGACAAGCCAGTCTGAGAGTTCTTTGTTAGATCTCTCGCACAAGCCCTCTCCACCATTACCGCAATCAATCCAACCTCTTGTGAGCCCTCATCAATCTCCCGTCGAGGGCCCCAAGCGGACTTTAGGCTTTTCAATAGAGGACATTATGAAACGTTAACGTGTTTAGTGTGTAAATGTAAATATTTATTGTTTGCCCTCACCGCGTTCTAAGGTACTTGTTAAAATTGGCATGAGGCCTCGATTCAGAGAAATGTTATGTTAATTTATATTTGCCAAAGATGTATCCTTGACTGATTAGTAAGTTCTTATCATTGTGCATCCGTTTTTCCTGTTTCATTTATCGGCAATGATTTCAAACTCAATTTCTTTGTCATATAATATATTGTCATCGTTTGTGTCAGTACTGCAATGACTAATGTTACGGTCGAAACTCGGATCTATTTTCAATTTAAAGACTGAAGTTGTTTTAAATTATTGTTATTGTTTTTAAGATGTTTATTTATTGTGATAGATTTATCTTCTATAAGCTTATGGTTAACTAAAGTTACCGAGAAAGTATTACCCTAGTTTTAAGTTAATTTTGTTCCAAATCATTGGCTATGACACCTTTAAAAACATTTAAAAAAGTAGACGTACACAAGAAGAGTGTATTAGAATAAGTATTTGTAAATTATTTGTAAATACATAAGTTAAGAGTAATATTTAAGTCGTTGAGGCTACTTGTAGAACTACAATAAGCGACTTTACAATAATAAAAGAAAATAGAATGAACATTAATGACTTGTTTTATTCCTTATTCGTGTACAACGATGTTTATCTTTTCATGTTTCTTCGATTATAGATAACATATCGTAACGGGGTACTTATTGAGGTGTTAATTTATATTTAACTATACCTATTTCAAATACTTAGTTGTGATTAATCACCGATTACTGCAACATAGGTATTAAGGTTTTATAGAGAAGTGCTATTGTGGTGCGTGATTAACACATAACTATCTGACAATTAATGTACCTAATGATTGTAATCAAATCTGGTCCGGTCCGATCACCTTCTTTTTTTTTCTGGGGGTACTCCTCTCGGATACCACCCACCAGTAGGTGATTATGTCGGATTCGAACTGACCAAAAACTGCACGCTGTCTCCAGGCACCAGTAGCCGGGGAACCAGGTATACCCTAGAAAGGAAAGTCCTGGTACCCCGACGTACCTCGGGCCATCTACAGCTTATAGATAACCTCTCCTGTGTTGGAACCCGGATGTTCCCTTCCAGCCCCCGAATGGCGTGCTCGCTCTGTAGCGCGTCGCGCCACCACCCACCCCAGCCTGCTTCTGCCAAAGTGACAGATGGCCTCACCTGTCACCCTCAGGCCTACGCTTCTAGAGGACCATGAACCATCACGTTACCGAGCGAGAGAATCCCTACTCCTTCCCTACATCCCTACTCCTAAGGCTACACCTTTGCTCTATCCACTCCGGGCATTCTGCCAGCGTGTGGAGCACCGTGTCCACGGTCCGGCCATCACAGTGGTGGCACTCAGGCGTTGGCTCCTTGCGGGTCTGATACAGATACATATACAGGTGATCTATGAAGCATCCTTTCCCGGTGATCACCTGCGTCAGCCGGTATGAGAGGGTTCGGTGTAGCTGTCATTTTTTCTGCAATCATCGTTCATTATTTACGAATTCACAAAGTAGGTGAGTATTAAAATACCTAGGTATATTGAAGATTCGATACATTACTTTCACATAAATACATATCTTTCGGGATTAAAGATTAATCGCATGAAACATTATAATACGACTTAAAAATTTAAAAAAATACCTACCTAATGCAAAAAAAAACAGCTTGGCATCCCTATTAAGAAATCTTAAAATATTATCTCTCTTTCTCGAATATCCTAAGTACCGCGTTATTACCGACTAACGCTAAATATATATTTCATATTCAAATAAAAATAACAGTTTCGTGGCATTTTAGTTTATCTGTTAACAAGAGGCCTATGGATTGCTGACAATGTTTTTACCTACATAGTTTTAAAGTTTAAGCTATTTATTTCCTTAAAATATTTCTGAAAGTTAGTTGAGCATTATTTTAGTAGATACCCATATGTATATGTTAAAGTTAACATATACAGTACAACATAGAATAAATTCAAATTATTATATTTAAACTAGCAAGCAATTAGTTTTAAACTCTCACAAAGAGCGTTCAATATGTTCATGAAATCGTTTGGCACTACATATACCTACTTACTACGAACTTGACCTACATTTTTCAACTGTAAGTTTAATTTTGTACTTTTTATATAGGTATATAGGTATTATTTAAATATTACACGAGCAAGACTTTTCAGGTATTTGTAGATTGCACCGTGTTCAAGATTAGAGCTCCGATTCTATGGGCTGTAGTGTGATATAATTCAGCTTGTAAAACTTTCTCTGCAAACGGATTAACATTGAGTAAGTGTAACAGGTTACACTTGACATTCTGCTCGTTTGGCTTCTAGACCATTAAAAAAACATTAGCGCGGTAGAAGAAATAAGCTAATTCAACAGGTTCATAACAATAAAAAAAGTGCCTATCACTGAAAAAAGTACATATTATTAAAATAATTAATAATAAGAACGCAATGCTCATTAGAAGCAACTTTATTTTAATTTTAATTAATGGAATCAAAAATAATTATCTAATTCAGAGTTTTTGCAGAGTATTTTTTCGATGTTGTAAGTGTATGTTAATACATTCATAATTGTAAATGGTTACTAAATACTGAACATTACGTAACAAATTGAAATAAATGTATAGATTGCCAACCCTAATCTACGCATCGTGCAATACCAAACACAATCATTATAGTAATGTAACAAAATTAATTGTAATTATAGGCGAGAGTCGAGAGCAATTTCGTACAAACCTGTCTTCTGGTAATGACCATGTTTGCCAATAAAAAATCGTGACGAACTTTATTTGGACTTTTCAATTGAAGCTTTATTTGCGTGTATAATTATGTATTTAATAATTTATGTAGGTATATGTGTTATATATTTATAGAAAGGTGCTATTATTGACAACGTTGAATTCTTCGCTAAATAAATGTAGGCAATAAACGTTTTTTTTTATTTGACCGTCTAAAAAGAGTTTAAGAGAACAGTTATGAGCATTTCTAATTGTCTACTTACACTAATTTGGAATTCTTGCTTTATTTTTAGGATAGAAAGTACCTACCTAAGAACTGTGAAGTATATTTCAAGCTTTTTTAGCCATAAGTTTAAATCTTATTAAAAAAATAAAACGTAATTATGGAGGTGGAAAAATTGTTTCACTTTGTTTAAAAGTATCGTCAATTTAAAATAAATTAAATATAATCCGGCTACCCTAATTGGCTTATTCCCAGGCAATAAAAGTCCCAATCTTATAACTATACCTCCGGTACTCAGACATTACTAACGAATTGCCGTAGAAGAAGGTTTAGAATCGGCAACTTATGCTGAAATTTCAGGTACCTACCTGCCAAATAGTGTGTATTTTTTTCCATGTTTAACACAAAAATCTGTCTTGGATGCAGTTGCTCATTTGTTTGATATCATTTCTAAATACAAAATTAATTTTTAGCCTTTGTTACAGTGAGAAATTGTCCATTTACTTATTTCGTTTGAGATTCAAACAAAATTGGCTACTGAGAAGTACTGAGAGGTATTGCGGTCTAGATACTTTATGAATAGTATACCTACCTGATTAGGATCTAGAATGCAATAAAGGCCGCACTGAGAGCGAAAACTATAATACTTAAAAACTTTTTTGTGAGCAACATTACGCTTTAATACTTTAGCATGTAAATCAAGATAGGTAGCTACATTATAAAACTAACTTAACGCCATTCTTAGTGTGAGGTCGATGTGGTGAGATGTAATAATGTCAGTTATTGGAAGGCGATAGGTAAAAGGAAACTTCATGACACACGTAATATGGCAGGTACCTACTTAAAATCTTTCTCTGTTTTCTTTACTCAACCTAAAACTATTCAAAATATTATTAGACAAATAATTTTCTAAGAGACTATTGAAACTGATAAATGGTGGATATTACTAATTTGTACCTATGCAGTGTTAATGATGTCATGGGTGCACATAAAAAATGAAGGAAGGAAATCAAATAGCTGTTGTCTGAAATGGCACCTATGGCGTTTTATAGAGGTTTACAGAACTATACGAGTACTTTCACAAGTACCTATCATTGCGCTTAAAAATCTTTTTATCAATTGCTTAGAAATAATAAAAAATAGAGCAATAAAAATTAGGAAATATCGATCCATAAATAATTATTAAGATCACTAGTAAAGACAATCCTGTTTTATCAGTATCTAAGTAGGTATTTTTTGGATTAAACCTTCAAAAATAGGAGCTTATTACAAAACAACCAATTTCCTCACATTTATATAATGAAACATTAAAGCCCTATAATACCGACTTGGAAATTACCAAAAATGTAAATAGGTAGGTACTTAAGTTTTCTCATTTAATACAAGACATTGTATCTTTAAAGAAAAAGATCATATAATCATTGCATTCTTGACGCAGCATTATAGTAAAAGCATTTTATCTGTGCACTATAATTTTCAGATACCTTACCATTCTCACGAAGAATTATAAAATTCCTTTCGGCAATGGTTGCGGTTGATTGCTGCGCCATCTAGTAAATAATACCCGAACTACGACGTGTCACTTGTCACCATGCGATGTCGCTACACGTTGCTGATGAAGGCTTTTATCGTTAATTGCGACTAATAATTCGGTATTGTCCATTAAAATTTCTTCGTTGATCAATTTATAGTCAATTTTATAGGTAAAATAGCTATTTTTATGACTTAGAATAAGTAACCAATTAGATAATATTATACTATAACTACTAAAAATACCTACGTACTGACTACAATAAGACAGGCAAGAACTTAATTAACAACACGAGGAAAACATTTAATTTTCATTGCGAATTTTAATTTTCATAAAGCTTGCTGTTTTTAGTAATTACAAATTACGTTTAATACCCATAAATAGCCACAATTAACTTAACTTGAAGATGATGTCAGAGTTTTGACAGAAGGAACATTACATTTCGATAAAAGAAAAATTAATTAAAACAAATCAAGAAATTTCG